TAGAATAATACTCCATTTTCCTCAAAGTATATATTGTCACGTGTTACTTTTTATTGTCATAATTTAACTAATATCTTAAATTAATACGATAAAAATAAGAAATTTATTAAATATGATTTGAGAAACGTGTCGTGTGTACGAGGTGTTCTCCGTCGATATTTTAAAAGTAATAACTTTATTGTTTTTTTTTCTTTTCACTGTCATGATTTTTTTAAAGATACTGTCTTCTCACTTTTGGATACGTGACCAAATTTGTTTGTCATAATTTATGTCATCCAGCTACTTTCTTGGCTACACAAAATAATAATTATTATTATAATAACAATTAAAAAAAATAAATTATGTTACTTAAGTTATTTAACATGTCCTAGATGAAAATTTCTATGCAAATATAGTATCATATATCGTTCAAAAATTTAGAATTCAAGCAACAAAATAAAGATACTTCAAAATCATGACAATGACTTAAGATCAATAAAATAAAAGATAAAAAATATTTTTTTTTAAAAAAGTAACCACCTATATTTATGATTTATGATTTTCACATAGCTAACTTAGCATAACGTATATGTGTTGTACGTGTGTACATTTTTAATACATCGTTTTCGTTTATACTAAAAAGAATAATTCGATCATATTTATATTTTAAAAGAATAAAAAGTTTAACAACAATAGGGACCCCGTGTACTATTTCTGTTTTATAAGTAATAATAATACACCAATGGCTCCACCGTTGCTGTCTTTTTCTCTTCATTTAATTTCCATCATCTTAAATTATTTTCGTAGGGGACACCAATTCTTTTTTATTCATTTTTAAACTGCTTTTTAAAGTTTAAACTGTTGAAGATTCCACTTCTACACTCACGCTATGATGTTGATCTTCTCTCATTTTTGGTTGAGATTAAAAGTGCAATTAATGAATTATAAATAGTAATAAAATATTATTAATTATGAATTTAAAATTTGAACTTTAATTTGTACCTTCCCATTTAGAATTATGCACGTGTATAACATCTCAATAGGCTCCACTTGCTTGGTAATTTGCTTTGAGTTTATCATATACATTTCTAATTTTATAATATAAGTAAATTTCTGTTTTGGAACAAATTTTAAAGTCATGAAAAATAAATTAAAATTACAAAAAAGTATGCAAAACATAACTTTATAGATCGGGTATAATTTTGTTTCTTTCTTGATTCTTCTCTTCTAACATTTTTGTTTATGATTAGATGATCATTAGTGACGTATTTTTTGAACTAATATGATTTGGATTTAATCTCGTTATAAATATTCCATCAAATATTTGAGATTTTAATCTCTTATTAGAATTTTCAAGATGTTTTTTAAGGAAATTTAGTACCCTTTGTATATACATGAATAATGTTTTAGGGTTGAATAGCCTCCGAGATATTTTTTAAGAAAATTTAGTGTCCGTATGAATAAGGGTTTAAGATTGAATAACCTCCAATAATTCTAATGGAATCGAACAAATCTTTTAAAGTCTCAATTCGAATTGAACACGTCTAATAAAGTCCTACAAAATTTTAATATGTACAATTACATTTTTAAAACTTTTTTCAAGTTTGGACGTATTTGTAATATTTCTCTCAATTTCTTTTAAGAGTCACATGGTCACATGAAAAATTGACACCAAGTCACTACTGGCGGTGTCATTTAGCAAATCGAAGGTATATCTAACTTTAGTTATTCAAATAAATAAATTTTTTTAATGCTATTAAAAATTTAAAATTAAAATTAATAATTTTCACCGAGCAAAGAAGTGATTTTAATACTTCTCTTACTCTTTACTTTTTTCCCCCTTTTTAGTAAATTTATTTGTCACTTTAACATTCTAAAAAACAATTTCTTTTTAATGTTTTATCCTTAACCGTAGTTACTATTTTTTCAAAAAGAAATTCCAGAAATTATACTAAAAATTAAAATGGTTATATGGAAAAATATTTATAACAATTATTATTTCTTAAAAAAGTTTAAAGTGAACAAAGTAAAGTGAGTTGAAAATATATATTTTTTAATCTATTAAAGAAAAGCATACTTACTTATTAAAAAGATGTTAAAATCCTAAGTAAAAATAAAATAATCAAAATATATAATTCCGTGGGAGTATTTAACCTGTCTTGAAATTCCTAGTGGCACCGCCACAGATCTGCAGATCAAACACAGACTCAAAGGTTGAAGGAATCTTAATAGTCAATGACAAAATTACCCCCATATGTGTACGGAAATCTGAATCATAAAGGGCTATTTCGGACAATTCACCTTATGCTGGCATGCTGCTCTCAAATTCCAAAGCTTTTTTAATACTGCTGCTTACCAACATCACAATTCACAATGATAACACAGTAATCGAGGTGACACGTGTATTTTATTAATGTCATATCTCAAAAAGCATTAATTAAAAAAAGGAAAAAATACAAATTAATTGAAAAGGGAAAAAAAAAGATGAAAAGAAGAAAAAAGAAAAAGTTAACTGTTATTTATTTTTTAATGAAAAAAAAAGAGTTTTATTTTTCTAACATAGCCTGAAATAAACTTTTTAACTAGACATAATATATAAATATGTCCTTTAACTTAATTATATTTATATCCTTCAATTTTGATTGCACAAGTAGACATTTAAATTTGTATAAAGTTGAACAAATAGGCACACACGTCCTACATATAATTCCACATGTCATTTTTCATTCTACATGATGTCCTACATGTATTTTGTCATATAGGACTTATGTGTTTATTTATTTAAAAATTAAATAGTTAAAATACATCTTTGTGCATTATGAAAATTGAAAATCAAATTTAAAATTTGAAGTGAAATTTAGAATTCATTATATATATTATGCCTTTTAACTACGCACACCAATAGTATATTGACACAAGAAGTAAAAAAAAATGAATAAATTTAATCATAATTTTATTCTCCATTGATATAAAATCATTTTTTCTTTACAAAGGTAAATAGAATAATAATAATCACATTTCTAAAGTTTATTAGATGAAATTCTTTATGACCAAACATTTGCTAAAGTTTTTTTTGATAAGTTTACACAAAAGTGGGAAAAGCTAATAGTAATGATCGATCAAACATGTTTTAATTGTATTTTTTTCCTGAAAATACGATAAAGTTATTTCTCACAAAAGAATTGGACACTTGGAGATAAATACATCTTTTTTTTTTCTTTTATTATTTCCCGAAATGGAAAATATAAACTTTTTGTCTTTAAATTATGTAATTACTTTTGGGAAAGTTCTGGTGATGCAATATACTTATGGAAGATTGGAGAATAAAGCAAGTTCCTATTTGAATAGTTTGTTTTTATAAATATTTATGTGCACTTAGTATATATTTTTATTGAAATAAATGAATTAAATTTATTAATTAAATTTAAATATACATAACTTAACCATTAAGTGATAAATATGGGTGTGAAAATATGCTCCAAAATATTTCAACACATTAAATCTATTAATTTTACATCTACCAAAAGATGTGTAAAAAGTTCCAAAAATAAATAACTTGAACAGCAATAACCTTTTATTATTGACAGACGCACGTGTTACAATAATATATTTACACGTAAAAGTTAGGAAAATGATAGAAAGATATAATTCATTCTATTTCAAGGTGAATTGTTAAGACTATATATTAAATATGGTTAAATTTAGACTCAATAATCCACTTATTTTAAAATAAAGAACATACTAGTTTGTTTTTATTTTTATTTTTCTTGAAATTGTTCAACTTTAACTTCCAAGTATAATATATGTTTAAAATTACGAAGTTAAAAAATATTTTAACATATTCTATCCATATTTAATTTCAAATTACGAGATTTAAAAATTTACTTAAATTTTTATACCTAGTACAAATCATATAAACAAATCAAAAAAATAATATGAAATGCATGGTTACTTATTCAAATTCTATAAAATTGAAAAATTAATTCCAAAATTAATTTGAAAGTAAAATTATTCATTATCAAACATTGAATTAAACTAAAAATTAACAAAAATAAAAAAAAACAGTTATTTTGGTCATCCAATATATTTATTTACCTTGCTCTTGCTGGTGTAAGTAAAGTTGAATAAAAAAAAATTAAAGTATTTGGGGCTTAATTGGAATTTGATGAAAGTTGGAGGATTAAGGATGTAATAGAAGAAAATATAATTAAAATTTTAATGTTGTTGCTCCCCAGCTGTATCTAGAGGTTTCTCTTCCCACCCCACATGTCCCTTTCATCCTCTCTTACTTTTCTTTTCTTACACTATATTCCAAACTTCCTTTTTTATATTTCACTTTTTTTTCACCTTCCAATTTCAATTTATTTTTTTTCAATAAAAAAGAACAAGTTAAAAACATTCTCAAAGTCTCACCTATGTGAAAAAGATCCTCAATATGACATTATTTCATCATAATTTAAAATAATTTTAATATTAATCTATTTTATTCTAATTTACATAACATAAATATCTAAAAATTACTATAGAGCATAAATTTTTAAAAATATTATGTCAAAATAAGACATAATGAAGCTTGAAGGTAAAAAATGGTGCTTATTATTGGAGCCTTTTTTACTTATATACTCCCTATGTTTGGATTTTGCTTCTCAAATCTTTTTTACTTCTACCTCTCTTATTTGATATATTTAGAAATAATAATCTACAATACATAAATTATTAAACTCAACGTTTCTGAAAAATATAATAAGTAAATATGTTTGATACACATGTCAAGTTTAAATTTGATAAATAAATTTAAACAGATTTATTTATCAATTATATTTATATATATATATATATAAAACTTTTTTTTATTACCACAATCTTAATGTATGAGTAAAATGAAAAGTTATTTTGTATAAATTTTGAAAATAAAGTTGTAACTTTTTTGATTTGAACAATTTTTTTAATATGTAGACACCCACTTTTTTCTGCTATAAAATCCCAGCCAAAACACCTTCTTTAACCCCTCTCTCTTTTCTCCTTCCTTTTCTCTCTAATTCTTCTTCCTTTTCCTCTGTTTTTTTTTGGGTTTCAAGTTTTTCTTGGAATCTAGAATCTCCCTAATTTTTTTTTTCTTCTACTAAACAAAATCATAAAACAGGGTTTCTTATTTTTAAATCTTTTAAACTAATCTTAATGCTACCCCAATTATTTTTAATTTTTGAAATTCATGTCTGCAATTCTGAGTGAACTGTTTCTTTCGGGGTTTATGATAAATTCCACATATAGGCGCAGGACCCATTTGGTGCAATCTTTCTCTGTTGTTTTTCTTTACTGGTTTTACTTCATCTCATAGCCCGGCTAGCTTAATAACACTACTATTTTTATATAATTTTATTAATCTATAAAAATAAAAATAAAAATTAAATCTAAAAAATATATTTTTGCATTCTACTCTGTTTTTTTTTCTTAAAATCAAAAACTCCATCTGGGTCCTGCTAATTTTAACTTTGTTGAAAAAATTTTGGGTCATGGCTTCGTCAAGTGGTACATCATCAGGTTCATCGTTTATACAAAACTCGGGTTCAGAAGAAGATCTTCAGCAATTAATGGATCAGAGGAAGAGAAAAAGAATGATATCGAATCGTGAATCGGCAAGAAGATCAAGGATGAGAAAACAGAAACATTTGGATGATTTGATGAGTCAAGTAACAAATTTAAGAAAAGAAAATAATCAGATTTTGACAAGTATGAATGTTACCACACAACATTATCTTAACGTTGAAGCTGAAAATTCAATATTGAGGGCTCAGTTAAGTGAACTTAGCCGTAGGCTTGAGTCACTTAATGAAATCATTGCAGTTTTGGATGCAAACAGTGGACTTGTCATGGACCACAATGAGCCTTATAGCTTCAATTTTGCACAAAATGACATTATGTTTGATGGGTTCAACGTGACCAATTCTTGGAATTATCTATCTGCCAATCAACCCATTATGACTGCCGATGTCTTGCAGTACTGACGTGATGACAATATTAGTCGAGCAAGTGAATTTCAAATGAAAAAAAAATTTAAACAGAGAGGATCCTCTTTTTATCTATTATCAAGTAGTAGATGTATTAGTGATCTTGCTTAAGATTTTTCTTTTGTCAAGTATTATTATTAAGAATAAATCCTTTCTAGGAATATTGGTGTTCTTGTAAATGTGGGGTTTGTAATCTTATTTGTAGTTTCTCTTTCAAAAACTTAATTATGCGATTGTAATTGGTAAGTATATTAATAACCATTTCAAGAATTGCTCCTTGTCCTACTTAGTCTATGGTTTTTATTCGTGGATTAAATTATTTTTGAGTAAAAATAATCATTCGCGTACATACAAAATAACTGAACACAAGATATATATTATCGTACAAATGATTTTTTTTATCTATCTTTATACGCGATATGTCTTTTTTGAAAATTTTATTTTTAGCCTCCAAGCAGGGTGGAGATAGAGGGTGCTTTTTACCTATATAAAATCAGTAATTTTTTTCAACATAGGTAGGTTACATGATAAATTCTTTTCCATGTCAATTACTTTTAAAATTAAATTATTTGACTTAGATGAAAATATCAGATACAATTTCAAACAATGTTATGTTAAAAATGTCTATGTATTGTACAATAATAATATTTTGCTATGATTATAGAATCAAATCAAAAAAATATTCAAACAAACGATTGATTGGATGATATAAAGTTATATCTACGAACATATTTTGAATATATTTTTAGCAGAATCTAGTAAATAGTTAGTTATGTAGTAAAAGTGGTTCATACACACCACCCACAAATGATTTTTGAGATATTTTTGGCTTTTGTTGTGATGATCATTAATTCTTCAGACAAGTACAAACTACAATTGATCTGAGCAGTTACCGTCCATCAATTTTTCCTTCCTTTTATTGAAAACACCCTCCCCACAAAATAAAATCTAAAAAAAAAATTCATATCAATTATATCAAATTACATTACTTTTATTTATACTTTTTAAAAAATAAAGATGAGAATATTTATCAATCAATCAACTAAAAAGTTTATTGATACAAGTTTAAATGAAAAAGATATCGTCTTGTCATTGAATTGATATATATAGCGTAACCATCAAAAATGAATAAAATTTAAAATTCTTATTTATTAGTACTTCAATGTATTAACACTTTGAAGTTACCGTTACGTAATTCCAAACTCATGAAATTTATATTACTGACAAATTCTAAACACAAAAAATGAAACCAAATAAATTTTAATTTCCTAGTTTCATTGGGGACACATTTAGCATATTTTCTTTTCTCTTGCCTATTTTGTATATGGGTGCAGGCAATAATTGAGTTAATAATAAACTTAAGGGCTTTTAGGTATGGAGGAAATTATTTCTTTTTTTTCATGTTAGATTTATCAATATTTTTTTTTTGATGAGAAGTGATATTTTCACTGTACTTCTCGCCCCTTCAACACACATCATATTCATCAAACTTCACGACGATGAGCTCCTACCTTTCATCTCATATTTCATAATATTCAGTCAAACTATATACAATATATTTTATCCGTAAAAGATAAGTTTTTTAAAAAATATTTTTTATTTATTTTGTATCGAACAGTACACTTTAAAAGCATCGAATCTAAATATCTAATTAGTCGTTCTTAAGGAAATTGCATGTGAAATGTGTTTTCTATTCCTTTTCAAAGCATTTAAATGTCCAAATCTTAGGGCCTTTTTGTTTTGTTTTGGAGAAGTTAATGCATTTGATTATCATTTTGCTTTCGATTGGTCGATATTTGTTAAATTCTTTGTTGTTTCTCTTTTCTTTTATAACAACCACTGATTAATATCGTGTAATATTTGAAATTTTCTCATATAGTATAATGTCACGTTTTAGCAATAAAGCAACGCTATCATATATGGCACGTTAAATTTAAAGACACTATTTTAAAAGTGGTCTTTAGCAATAATTAATTATAAATAATCGCTAGATATATATTTAGCAGTAATTGACACTCTTTGTATGTGTCCCTAAAGGCTTTACCGATATAACACTTCGATAAAGACTTTAACACTTTTAATCAATGTGTCTATTTATTGACTCTAAGAGTTATTTTTGTTATAGTGAGAATCGACCCAGACTTATAATAGAGTTGTAATATATTTGGAAAGACGATATAAATTCGGTATGTAAAATAATGCAACAAAAGTGATATGTTAGAGAAACTTTTGTTATTTCCAAAAAGTATAATTCACATAGGCAATCTTACTTCTATCTTGCAAGGAACGTAATGAAGTTTATTTAATAGACCATCGATTAAATAGAGAGACTTGGCAAAAATAACATAAATCCGATAAGCACACTTTTACTCTTCGGATAAGCATTTTGTGATGAGAAAATTGAAGAGGGTGAACTATATGCAACTTTACATCTATCTTGTGAAAATAACGAGATTATGTGAAATAAATCATCGATTTAATAACTGAGAAAATAGTGTGACGATAAAAAAGAAGTAAAGAACAAATGGCACGTGCAGGGAACAAAATTTTCAGGACAAGTACAAATCCTAGTTATATACAAGTAATATCACTAGATCCTTGTATAATGCCCATAATTAAGTCCATGTTACAGGAACAATACAACGTGATACGATGCTTTGCCCCCAATTAAAAATGTAAATTTATACGGTGTTAAATGTTAATACAACATAATAATAATTATTATTATTATTAGAAGAGAACAACATGTTAAATTTACATGCTTCTAGATGAAACAAAAAATAAACATATAATATTGAATCGTTTCTTTTTCCAAATAATTTTTAAAAAGCAAGATGAGTTGATGAATATATTACCAAAGAATAATTTTATTTGTTTTTGAAACAATTATTTAGTAAATGATTATTTTTTTATTATGAAATGTATATTATTACAAACCATTCTTTTTGAGAAAACTAAGAAAATAAATATTTGTCACTCTCAAGTCCTGTATTTAAACAAAATTTTAAAATATGAAAAAACATTTTAAAGGGGAAGTTTAAGTAATTGGAACACAACACTTTAAAATATTAGATTGTAGCTATTTTCTCATCATTATTGAAATAATTGATCAAAATAGCCATTTAACAGAATTTGTTAATATCAAAGGTCATTTTTTTAATTGACAATTACTCTTCTAATCAGTATTTATATACCCCCAAATATTTCTTGAACAGGAAAATGAAAAAGTAATCCATAGAAATTGTACACATGCTATGTTTAGACTTTGACTTAGATAAGTGAAAAGTGAAATGCATTCATTTTTTACTACTCATTTTTTTTCCTTTTCACTTTTCATTTAGTGTGAAGAAATTAAGTGCCCATAGTTGGAATGTGTCAAATTAATAGGGCTGCAACTTGATTTTTTCTTTGGAAAAGGGTCGGATATATCTCTCAACTTTGTCATTTAGAACTGATATATCTATTGTTGTGAAAGTGACTCATATATACCCCTACTTGTAAACAGATAGCTCACATATACCCTTTTCCTCTAACGCAAATGAAAAAAAAAATTAATCTAAATTTTTATTTTTATTTCTAAAAAATATAATCCCATATGAGTAAATTTAATCCTCGTCAAACATATTTCTTGGACTTTTTTTTGTTTCAATGACTAATTTATAATTATTATTTTGATAATCAAATTTATTTATGTTTCACTAATATTCTCGTAAAACTTATTGTAGATGACCAAATTTTTTCTTCGAATATGAAATTAAATTACAATATACACACAAAAAAATAGTTTAATTTTTTTTCTTTAAACTAAGGAATGAAAGAAAAAAAATAAAATACGAATAAGAAATTCAAATAATTATAATAAATAAAGTCAAAAAATAATTTATGTATGAAACAAAATAAAAATATACCTTGAATTTTGATAGAAGAATCATATATACCCCTAAATAATTCTTTTTAAAAAATTAGAAGTATTAAATATAAATTTAAAATTAATTTTTTAACTTCCGTTAAATAAAGGGTATATGTGAGCCATTTTGTAACGGCAGAGGTATATGTGAGTTATTTGTACAACGGTAAGGGCATACATGTGTCACTTTTATAACGAGGGGTATATCAGCTCCAAATGACAAAGTTGAGGAGTATATCAAACCCTTTTTTCCTTTTTTTTATCGTCCATTGATATACAAAGGATATTGCAATATCGAATTTCATATTTACAATCGAGTTCTTTTATGAGATTAAATTACTCTCACTTAATAAAGAAAATTTTAGATTCAATATATATTGATATTTAACAAAATTTATTAAACTAAATAGAAAGTAATAGGAGAAAAAGACGTTTGGTGGAAATTAATTCACCCAACTTGTACATTTTACCTATATCTTAAGTCTTCTTTCTTATTAGTTCTATCCTTTCAGAAAAGAGAGAAAAAATAATTAATATAAGACATGACTTATGGTGTCATGTTATTAGTCACAAACTAAACGTTCAAATAATGGCCATTATTTCCTTAATCACTTTCAATAATGCTTAATTATTTCATTAAATCCCTATTACATTAGTCTAATCACGCATGAAATGACAGGTTAATTGTATAATGCCTCCCCCAAACTCAAATTAACCTTTGTCAAAACAAAGCAACAAAAACAAGATGGGTATCGTTTAAATAAGAATAAAATATTTTAAAATTATAATTTTATGATTTAAATAATGGTGAGATTGAATGAGTATATTTTTTTCATTAGTAGATGTTTGGTTCATTAGAAATATATATAAATACATGGTACAATATCAAATACTTTACGTATTTGGTTTAAACTAAAAAAAATTGAGTTAATTTGGACTGATTTAGGATTTTCCATGATGAAATTAGTAACGGTAGGAATAAAAATATCTTTACTTTAACGGTAAGGGCATAGTCAACCAATAAATCAAAGTTGAGAGGTATTTTAATCCTTTTCCATTGTTATTTTATCTTGAAGTTGTTATACCACGTGAAAATAATGAAAATAATAGAAAATACTGTGACGAATGTTATATAAGCCATCACACTTATTTCATAATAAAATATTATAATTCAATTTTTTAAGTTTTAACTTTTATAAGCTACTACCCTAAGTTATGTTTAAGGTGATCTAATTGTATTAAAATTCATAAAATATGAGTGTTAAAGCTAAAACTCATTCAGACCAGACAATATTTTTTCAATCATATTTAATCAATGCCGTTTTTAGGAAAATTTTCACAAGCTTGGCAATTAGAAAGGAGAAAATTAAAGTAAAGCACATTCAAAAGCTAATGGAGTAATAATATTTTAAATATAGAATTGACATACGACTAAAATTTTCTTTACAAATAAAGTATATTTAGAAATTAAAGAGAATTAAAGAGCACCGTTCTTCCATCATCTCGAATATAGGCATCATAAAAATTAAAGATTTGAAATCCAATGGTTTCGTTTTTTTCCCTCTATTTTGTTTGTTTAGAGAATAATAATAACTTTAGTTTTGTCCAAATATTCTTCTTTACAATAAAATTAATTTCATAAAAATACTTGAGCCACAAACAATACTTTGCTATCTTTTTATAATTAAGATTTTATATAAGTGGCTATCCACTAAGCAAATCTTAGGTCTTTCATAGTAATTTTATCTTTTTTTGATAAAAAAACATCTTCTTTTAGCATTTAAAAAAAATGTAAATGATATATAAACACAAAAAGAAAAATATTCTTTGATGCTTCAAACTATATGTTTCGCTATAATTGATAAATTGTACCAAAAAAGAGAGTACATATTTGCAAATTCTTTTCATTGTTGATATTTTTATATTTGTGGAAGGGTAAGGGAGATTAGCACTTTTAGTCCCTCAATATTGATAAATTCTTATTTTAGTCCTTGTAGTTTTTGATTTAACATATTTAGCCTTTGATTAATAGATTGTGCACTTATAATCCCCTAGTTTTCTTTTCCGGGAATGAACTAGCCTAGAGGAAATGGGCGTCAAACCTATAAGTCAAGTACGCAAGAAGAGTTTATAGGCGAAGACATTTTCAGTCGAAGGTAGGGCAGTCTTACTAGCTTTAGGGTCAATCGAATAGATAGAAGATCTAGCGCCTCTATGAAATGTGTTTAGTTAAATATTACAAGAAGTAAAGTAAAAATAATTACTAAAAAAAAGAGAGATTCATAAAATTATAATTAAATAGACAAAAATATGCTCTGAAATAATTTAAAACTTGTTTGATATAATATTATTTCATATGATGATAATCTTTTAAAGAAACTCACCAAAACAGTATAAAACTAGATCTAAATCATGTAAATCATATGGTTTGTTACAATAAATTTTAAACTCAAACATAAATTTTAAATTCTAAATCTCCGCGTGATCGTAAATACTTTTCTATAATATTCTACTTTTATTCATGTTGACTGGTGGAAAATGATGTTCTGTATAATGAATGAAGTGGCAGCAAGTTAATGGGAGTTTATAATTTCTTTTTTACTTTTTAAATTAGGCCCATGATTTTTTTACAAAAGGGACAAAGATGATGAAATCTCATGTCATATCTTTTCTTTTTCTTTCAATTCAAGATTTTATAAAATATTATTAGGAAAGATTAATTTATTTTAAAACAAAGTTAAAGTGTTTGTGATAGCATGTGGCCAACCATACACTTGAAAGTCTTCACATGATCAATGCAGAAAAAGACGGTCCATTTGTTTTGTTTTGCTTAATTTCTAATTAGTGATAATAAATTAATATTGAGTAAAATAGTAAATTAATGTTCTGGAGGGAATATGAAGACTTTCGTGCCTCAAAAGAAGCCAAAAACAAAGAGGTTCTCTATGTAATTATTAATTACAAGTATATGGAAGTCTTAATTCCATAATTAATTAGTTACATATAGGCTTTACTCAACTTCTTATTAGTAGGTTAGTTAAGATTTTTACCAACTGAATTAAGTAATATGCATTTTCATTTTCACTATAAATAACGTTTACATTTTCATCTCATATAGAGATTCTTTGGAATTTTGGATGACCTCCAATCTTAGTAATATTTTATTATAAAAAATAAAAAGGTTAATTATAAAGAAGATACATCTAAATTTAAAGTCCTAAATAAATATAAAAATAAAAAATTAAGAAAATTTGACATATACTATATATATACAAAAATTAATTTTAATCTTATATAAATAATGTTGAACCTCCTTCGGCTTCACCCCAGCTTCTAATCACCTGAAAGTGGAAGCAAAAAAGTCAGAACTCGAACTCGAAACTCTACAGGGATGTACAAATAAATGTAACACAAAATCCAGAGCAGCATGAGTGTGAGGCAGTGAAAAAGCTCTTTATGGTGGATTTTTTCTGAACATTTCTTACACAGAACAATCACTCCTCTAGAGAAAAGTACAAATATCAGCAAATTAAGAGTTGAAAAAAAAAAATGAAGAATACATGCATAGTGATAAAGTTTTGTATGTGATGATGGTAATGAATAGTGAGTGACTAAGACAAAATGAGCATTTTCCCTAAAATATGAAGCCCATTTTCTTTGATTTTAAAAAAAGTTTCAGAAGAATATTACCAGAATTTCCCAGCAGAGGAATTAGGTGCTTCTCTTTGTTAACAGGGACCCATTCTACTTGTCTTAATTTCCTTTGTACAGAAAAAGCCTACATAATATAATGTGGGCTCCACTATAGATTTTACTCTTTTTTGAGTTAAAACTTAATAAATGAGTGGAGGTACACACTATCAATAGTACAATTGTTATCAAGTGTATGGTTTTTTTTACTGACAGAATTAATCATCATCCATTGAAAATCACATATAATTATGGTTTTCGGGGTGTCGCTTTGCAAACCCTACTAGTTATATTCATTGGATCACGCTGTTTCAAGACGGATGCACCACGGTTAGTTTCACGTGGCCCTGGAGACGCAACCGATTTGTTATGCCTTTAGTGGCTCTGCTGGGGTTTGAACTGGCGACCTGAAGACTTTGTTCTCGAGCCTTTACCAGCCGAGCTACCCCTCAGGGTTTGTTGACTTTAACTTAATAAATGAATAGTTCGCGTCTTAACATGGCACCAAACGACTTGTTAGGGTCTAATATATATTCCCACCGTTTTCAAAAGACTGATTTTTTTTTCTTTTTAGTATGTTTAAAAAAGAATAACCTATTTCTTTTCTTAGTAACCACTTTCCATGTGACATGTTTAAGACCACAAGATCAAATTTTGTATATTTGATCTAACTTTAATTTAAGACCACAAGATTCAGAAGTCTTCTTTATACTTTTAAACTCCGTGTCAAATTAAATTAGGTCATTCTTTGTAAAACGGAGATAATACTACTTAATAAATGAATAGTTCACATCTTAGCTAGGCATCAAACGACTCAAAATATATTTCTTTATCAAAGGTAAATGCGGATATCTCTGGTAATAAAATTTGGACAAAAATTTCCTTTTAAAAATGAACATGGCAGTGATAGGCATGCACAAAAATGACTTAAAATTCAAGATCCTAGCTTTTAGAAAAGGAAAAGCAATAAGACTTGTCTAGCTAGGCTTTTTCTATTTATCTAATAGACTTAAAAAGGCAAAGTATAGTCTATATCTTTCAAGTATAATTAATTAATGACTACTACTTGGCAAAGCCCTATTCAGTTACGCTATAGTACCCAATCTGGCTCACAAAATCACTGTTTTTTGGGCAATATATGGTCCCCTCGTCACATGCATCCACGGTTATTTAGCGATTGATAAAATTTTATAGCTAAATAATATAAATATAATTTTAGATTCATCTCGTTTCGTTTTATCACCATCCGTAATTATACTATATTTCAAACACTTATAATTTTTATGTACTACTTAGTACCTTATGTCATATATATGTGATCATCTTGAATTTTATTTACTTTTGGACTATTAATGTACATTATCTCAATATTTTAGCGTTTCCGCAGATTTTATTTTATGCATAATTTGTGAAACTTAGATGCCCCACATTCGATCTCATAATATAGTTTAGACTTTATTTTAATTATAATTAATGTATTGATGTTCTTTGCATAACTTCATCCATGCCATTCGAATCTACGTTGTACCTACTAAAATATTAATGTGGAAGTTATATATTTCGATGATCGGCTAACACAACCACATACTAAGTCTATGCATAATGCATATTACACATAAAATCTGTGTACATAATGTATACATTATATACACATATGCAAAAATTTATATTTTACGATAATTGTTTTGATGGACGAATTAATAGGGTAAAAATCTCAATATTTAAAGATGATAAGGCATGTCAAGATTATGAGCTATATGAGGCAAAAACATATGAATGTCATCCCATCAAGCATTATTTGCTGGCTCACGATGAAATTATTTGGGTTGGGCTAGAAAATGGGCTATTAAGGCCCAGATTAATTTCATGATTGGAAGATGCTATTTTTTACGAATTCTAGTAACGGCATGTTGATAAAATATTGAAAAATTTAACATTTTTAGAAATTTAACTAGTTTAGAAGCTGATTATTTATCTACATGCTAATTTGCAAATCTTGTCAATTTGTCGAGATACATATATCTTGGGATACATGGGGTAAAATTAGGTGTAGTTTGTTTTAGATATACTGTATTCAAATAAATTCGTATTTATCTAGGACGTATAGACAATTCTCTTCCGTGTACATAGTATGGTATTCCAGTATATGCAAATCACATCAGATACATAGGTATAATGTATTTTTTTCTCCTTTTCAATTTGATGTTACCGATTCCATGTTCTCTTTTTATCTTTTGTTACACCGCTATTTTTGTCTGACAAAATAAAGAAGGGCAATTTTCACATATAGCAAACAAAAAATTCATATTTGTATAATATAACAAACTTTGCATAATTGCGCTCCATAGCAAACATAAAAATTGTATAATTCGCTATACATATACAAGTGTATAATTCGCTGGCCTAAATTGTATAATTCGCTGGCCTATTTCGCTGCAATTGTATAATTTGCTTTGCATATAGTTGAATCGAATTAAAATGTATGTATATTGCAAAATTATAAGTTTATAGCAAAAAGATATATGTTTTTATCGTTTTATAAAAAAACAGAAACACAATATATACACTTCTGTTGTATAAAGCTAGAGAAAATTGTATTTCACTTCAATTGTATAATTCGCAATTGTATAATTCCGGTTGGCCTTTTTCTCTGCAATTTTTGAAGTAAAATGTTTGTAAATTGTATAATTAAGTGTATAACACGAAGATATACATTTTTGCATGTGTATATACAATTTTCTCTCGCTTTTATACAAAACAGAAACCGAATTATACACTTCTGTGTATAAAGCGAGAGAGGCGAGCGAGAATGGAGAGTGGCGAGCGAGATTCCTGGGAGAGAGACGCTGGCAAATTTTAGATAATATTTGTTATGGAGCATAATTAAATCAAACCCTAGCTATTCTATTTAATTTAGGTTATTAGTTTGCTATTTTATACAATTTTCCCAAAGAAAAAGTGAAAACGCAAAAAACCAATTTGAGTGGGCTGTTTCATCATATCATAGGCCCAATTCATTCCTTAAGCGGGTTGTCGGCCTGCATAGGCTCCCCGCTCTGCCCGAAGAACAAATCTTTGATTTTTTTGTATGAAGAAAAAGAATTTACTTTTGTCGTAATCTGTAAACAAAGAATCAAATGTTATTAGCAGAATCCGCGGTTAAGATTTCTTGAATTTCTGAGATTGGTATACGCGTTTACGCCACAAGTCTAATTATTTCAAGATCATCAAAAAATTATACATATATATATCAAGACCCAAGTTTCAAATTTCTGTAAAAATCACTATCAGTTTGACCCTTCAATCAAATTGGTAAACACAGTGAGTTTCTTGATTTATTAATAATCTTCTTTCTTTTTTCTTTTGATTATTCAATGTTCCATCTGGTGGTGATCCCATAATCTAAATCTTGTTTCTTTTATCATCCCCTCACTTGTGTGTTCAGAAATCAAGATTCCCCATAAGATTCTTGTTTTTGAGGACATTCATGTTCTGTTTTACTTCCACTGTCCTAATTTAAGTGTTTTAGTTTGATTGATTAAAGATATAAAGGGAAATTCTTGAATCCTGTAGTCATAAATTAAGACACTTACTAAATATAGAGAGGGAATTTTTGTTACCTTGTGACAATTTTCATATTTGTATTTCATCTGAGAGTTGATTGTTATTTACTTTCTGTTCTCAGTTGAGTGATTGCAGATTTAAGTCCATTGGAAGTTTGCATTTGATTAGATATGGCGAAGCACACAGAGTACTATGACATATTGGGGGTTGCTGCAACCGCGACTCCTGCTGAAATTAAGAAAGCTTACTATCTCAAGGTGATATAGCATTTTAGCTTATTGTTTTCTATTTCTGGAGACTTTCAATTTTGAGAATGCACTCGTATTGGTTGTTGAATTTATTACTAGACTAGATGATCATGTGCCCTTTTGATGCGACAAAAATGTAGAATTCCCTGAAATTGAATTTTCTTGCTTTCTCTCAACTTAGTTTAATTATTGTTTTTTTATTTCCTACTCGGATGTGCATATTTCTTATTCATGTTTAAGTTTACTTTAGATTCAATGTCTGATAGGAGTCTTTTAGACTAGATAGGGATTTATGTGCTAGTGGAAAATAAAGAGAACTTCTCATTCTAGAGAGATTAAATTGAGGCTTAAATGAAGTGACATGGCCATGGATTCGTATAGCTGATCACACTTGCTTGGAATTGAGGTGTAATTGTTTTTTATGTGCATTTGATTGGTCTGTTTATCACAATCTCCCAGCATGGATGCAGTTCCTGATGCCACGCTCCTTAGTGTTTTCCATTTTTATTCCCAATGTTGCTACTATATGCCGAAAGACAAAAGGATCACTTTCTTGAAATTCTAGGCTGGATAGCACCAAGTAAGTTTGTGTTTCAACTAACACGTTGTAACTATAATAAAACAATGGCTAGCTGGAAAAAACTACTATTTGCTAGTATACGTGACTGATTCCAAGACATTCTCCGCACTTCTAGCATGCGATGCATAAAGGTCAGGGGGATTCCTAGAGTTAACCTAGAGCTACTTTTTTTTAGTTTACACTTTCAAGGAACCTTAATTTATCCTTGAAAATTTTCTTTTGGACAGTAGTTTTCCTTAATATTTATCTGCACAAAGATATCTTTGGCTTCAAGTCAAATTTTTCCTCGCACACTAATTTGCAGTTCTATTTCAGGCAAGGACTACACATCCAGACAAGAATCCTGGGGACCCACAAGCTGCTCGTAATTTCCAGGTACAACCTTTAAGATCTCTTTCAGTTTGATTTGTCAACTAGGTACCATTGGACACTTGAGTGTCCATACTTAAAATTTTGTGAAAGCATCAGCTTTGCAGAAGTCTCAATCTATTAAATCTCATATTTGGTTTCATTTGGTCATCTGGCTGTGTGGGTGAGTTGAAAACAGAAAACTGTGCTCTACATATTCCAAGAATCCGATGAGTCAAAGTGCTTAACAATATAATGGGATGGAGGGAATGCTTGTGTGAGTGGAGCGGTGTCACAAAACTTCTTTACATTTTCCTTTGCCTCTGTCTCATTGTTCTTCTGCTTATTGTTCACTTTTGAAGGTCCTTGGTGAGGCTTATCAGGTGCTGAGTGATCCTGAGAAACGTGAACTTTATGACAAATATGGTAAAGAAGATATGCCGAAGTAAGTGTGCAATAGGAAATGCCGCACTAACTTATTTTATCCGCCTTTTTATTGAAAGAGCATCCATTTGTTCTTGACCCTTGTTAAGTTTCAAACTATTTTTGTCATACTTCGTACTTAAATCTTTTCTGCAGAAATTAGTAAGACGCTCCTAGTCTACTTGTCCCAGCAGTTAGAAAACTGAAAATCCTTCTAATGATCTTGTGGAGTAAACATTAAGAAGATCATCAGTAAAATATTGACTTTCCTTTTCTAGAATTTAGGGTGAGAAAAACTATTTTATGTGTTTACTTTGTCTCTCCTTTGTCAGGGATTTGATGCACCCTGCTACTGTATTTGGGATGCTGTTTGGGAGCGATGTATTTGTTGATTATGTCGGGGAACTTAGATTGGCTTCCATACAAACTGTTGAAGATGAAGAGGATGAAGTTGTTCCTGAGCTTCGTAGGCAGAACATTCAGGAGAAATTGAAGGTATTCTTGTTTCACAGGCTTTTCATATTAGTTCAATTGTTCATGCAATAGACTGAGTCAATCCTCTTTCAACTACAGAAATTGCAAAAGGAAAGGGTAGAGAAGCTCACGACAATTTTAAAAGAACATCTTCAGCCATATGTAGAAGGCCGGAAGGATGAGTTCTTACAATGGGCACAATCAGAAGCGCAACATCTTGCTCAAGCTGGTTAGATTGTTTCACCTGCTTGTCCCTTAATTGTTTCTTGTAAAACTTCAATCAATTAATGTGCGCCATATTCTGAACTAGGTTGCCTCATAACACATCCACTATATGCATGCTTCTCTTTTTAGTCCTATGTAATTTCATGACATAATAATTTTTCATTTAAGACATTTAGGGTTCCTCTGAAGTTATCTGCTTATCAAAAGATTAAAAAAAAAAGAAGGTTGAATTTCTCTAAATTTGATACAAATTCTTGCATCAGCAATCAGCATACAAATTTCTAATTAATCTAAAAGCTCCCGCAAAAGATGGACCTAATGCAAGTGAAATGATAGCTAAGCCTTAATCCAAGTTAACTGGTATGCTCCTTTTAGATCTTTTGAGCCCTTATGTTCTGCTTTTAGCTTCTCATGAATTTTGAGAAAAAGGTAGATATATTGAAGCGACTTCGTTCCATGTGTTCTAGGTCTACCTCTTTCCTGCTTTAACGCCTTCAGTCATCATAGTTGTTGCGTAGTCCATATGTTTTCAATCCTCTAACACCAG